GGCCCTAGCCCTGTGTGATCTTCCTGGCTCAAACCTGTAAATCCCTCGTCGTGTCACTAATAAATGATTAGATCCTCTCCAGGCCATATTGCTTTGCCAAAACGGGAAGAAAATAAATATATATAAAAAAGGAGTATTTTTCACAAATCCGTTAAAAAATACATTACGATAACAGTAAAACGATGATGATATATCATTGAGAACGACGGTAGTTAGTGATGATGGTGTATTAATGGTTAAGATTATTGAATGATATTTTAAATATATTATTAATGTCTATAAAATATTTTTTAAGTATTGCTGAAAATACTGGTTATTTCCCAGATTCTGGCCAGCAGAATGCCCACCAACCTTAACAAACTTATTGTCTTTAATGATATCGCTGTCCTTATTTTCCAAGCCCCATTCGTCTTAATTCCTAAACAGCTTCCATGGCAGCATGATTAGGACATCTAACCCAGGCCTGTGACAGGTAAAGATGGATGGAGCCATGATGTTGCATGCGCATGCAGCATCATGAGGCGGGCAAAAAGACATGCGTTAGATGCATGCCGTGTCCTTGTGTCTGCTACCTGTGCCACTAATTAATTTGTCCCTTCCCCAATAATGTTCTTTACACTTCTACTAATATTTTCCTTCACGGAGAAACTCCCCTTTTTTAAGGAGATTATTTATGGAATTTAACATTTTTTCACTTTCCATTTTCTGATCAAGACACCGATCTGATTGGGCTGTTCACTTTGTTGGGTCAACGCCGAGTGCTTCCTCACATTAGACCATATTTACCAGGGCACTAATTTATTTTCTAGGATCTACCATCATTGATCAAATAATTAGTGGGTTAACACTAGCAATTAACGAGGGGGGTTGCTTTTAAACATAGCAATCAGATCAGACCGGTTCAAGTCTAGGGTTATAGGTTGATTTGGTCAGCAAATCAATTCAAATTTGTTGAAAACCAACGTTGTGTTTTTTTTTTAAAAAATTAAAACAATACAGTTTGGGGAATAAAATAAAATAAATAAATAAATTGATATCATTATAGACAATAACTTAAATTTTTTTTAGAGCTAACCTGGTTAAATCTTATTTAAATTTAATTAGAACAACTTGTTATTTAATTAAAATAAAAACATGACTCAATTTTAATTTGATAACTATACTATAAAATATTTCTATATGTTCTTTAAATTTAGATACTCTAAGTGTGTTGTTAATTTATAAGATTGTTCTATTGATCCTTTAAAGTATTCTTTACTTCTTGTTTACAGATGTAAGATTTCCATACAACCTACCAACTTATTTATGTTTCCTTTTCTTTTAATTTACAGATTACATTTCTTCAAAGACAGTAGAAGCAGATATCAAGTTAGCTGTCTATTTACACCTTTTTTTCTGGGTTGCGGTGCAAGTTTTATATATATATATATAATAAAAAATACTTTAAAAAACAATTATTGCACACTTCCAAACCAACATTAAATAAAATCAGTCCAAATCTCAAAATCTTATCAACCCAGCAATCCCTCCTCCAATTAATGAACTCAAAATGCTATAAAATCAAACACAGCTTAAAAAATTATCGAGGAATATTTTGATTCTTTCACAGCCAAACAAAATAAAATTATGTTGTAACTATTTTTTTCACTCACCTAAGTTGTATTTTATTAGTATTTCAGAATTAAAAAAACATATAAAATAAAAATATATTTATTTGAAAAGATAGAAATATAAATATTTTAATACATTTATCTTGAAAATAATTTTATAATAATTTTTTATATTTTTAAAATAAAAGGTATAAAAAGAGAACATTTCCATTATTTAACCATATCTGTTTTTTAGTCTTAAAATAGCAAATAAACGTTACCTTAGCCCTCGCTGGCACGCAGGGGAAAAAAAACTGATGACTGCAAAAATCCACTTTACCAAGTATAACAAATATATCATACCAGATGTCAAAATATGGTTGGAGGTATAACTGACCAGCCACCCTGTAATCAAATCCAGGGCCAGGAGGGAAATCATGCGGTGGTTCAGCTCTGATACCTCATACCTCCCAGTGGAACTCACTTCATTTTCATTTATTCATACCAAATGACCATTTGCCACATCACCAAGAGAGGCACGTGAGCGAACAAAGAACAAATAAATCCGTTTTAATTATTTCACCTGCGTGCTGCATTGATACAGTGAAAAGGATTTTTTCTTTTTCTTTTTCTTTTTCTTTTTAATCACCAGTTATCCAGACCAAGGCTCGATTATTAATTTTGGAGGTGCACATGTTGTTTTTTATATTTTTTATTTAAAAATATATTAAAATAATATTTTTTATTTTTTAAAAATTTATTTTATTTAAAGCAATGTTTTTCATTTTTTAAAATACTTTTTAATTGCAGTATCAAACAAGGAGTAGTTGATACGTCTCTGCATTTTTTTAATTCATATTTTTATTTTTACGAGGAAATGAAAAGGTGAGCAGTGTTTTCCACATTTTAATGCAGATGATAGTTTACAATATTGATAAAATATTTACGCTAAGTGATTGTTGCTATTATTTCTGTTCCGTCTTAGGATCATGCAATTATTAAAATCTAAATATATTGTATAATAGTTAAAATAATCTAGTCAATATATCACATATAAATTTCATAATAATAGATAAAAGGATTATATTGAATGGCATAAACTCAGTGTTTTTCACATGCTATAATTTTGAAATTTTGAATTTAATTGATAAATGAACTGTTATTTTTTAATTTGAGTATGGAACAAGGTCATGAAAAAACATTTTTTTCATAAATAAATTTAGTTTTAAATGTTGATATAGATGGAGACTCCAGACTTGGAAAAAGAATATAATTTTAATATACCAAACCTAATTCAAAAATATCTTCATCACTAAAACATAATCTTATTACTTGATTTGAAAACATTATTGTTTTGCATAAAATATTTTATTATATTTATAAGTAATAATATGAAAATTAGAATGGTAATATAATGATAATCATGTATTATGATAATAAAAAAACTGTAATCGGTTACAGGATGAGAGTAAATAATAGTAGTGGTAGTGATAATAATAATAAAATAATAAAAATAAAAATAATATATATCATGGTGATGTCAGCTAAATAGTAATGATAATTGGAATAATTAAATGATATTATAAATATATTAACATAAATAAATTTATTTTTAAATTCACGAGCTAAATTCACGAGCTAAAGATGTTTTCCAATAATTGAATTAAATATTTTATATTGATCAATTTTATTTTTTAATATTTTATAAAAATATATTTATATAAAAATCAAAAAATATTTTTTATGTAAAACAAACTCCCACAATTATTTGTGCATATGCTAAACCTAAAAAAAATCAAAGAAAAAAAATAGAATAGAAAACGGGTGTCTCTCACACTTTACCATAAAGGAGTAAAAAATAGTAGGATGAGGGAGAATTAGAAGAGATTAGAACCCTGTTTATTTATAGAAAATTAATTTTTTTGAAAAGTGATTTATTTGAAAAGATAAATTATTTTTTAATGTTTGATAATATTATAAAAAATAAATTGAAAAATATTTTTTAAAGTTTAGTTATGTTATGGAAAATTAATTGAAAAATAGCTTATCAATATTTTTTTTCAAGTTGATTAAAATAACAAGGAATAAACCTTACAAATTAAAAAGTTAAATGAAAATAAAATTAAAAAAAATCTAATTTCATAAATCATCTAAAATAAAATAAATAATAATCAAAATAATAGAGATCAAATCTAACAAAAAAATTAAAAGATGATGAAATAATAATAATAATAATAATTTAATAAATTATTTTAAATAAAATAAGTAATAAAAAAATAAGGATCAAATTTGATAGTTAAAAAAATTCAATTAAAAAAAATAATAAGAGAATAATAAATAACAATCATAAAAATAAGGATCAAAGTTGATATAAAAACTAAATTAAATCAAATTTTAAGAAATGCAATTGACAGAAAAATCAAATAAAATATATAGCAATCAAAATTTTGAGAATCAAATTTAATATAATCAACAAATAATATAACATTTATAAATTTTTTATAATTTTTAAAAAGTATTTTTTGTCTAAAATAAAAAATACTTTTCTGAAAATTAAATTAAATTTTTATTTAATAGGAAAGTATTTTCTCTTAATTAGAAAATATTTTTTATCAAATAACTTTTTTAATAATAAAGAAATACAAAAATTATAAAGAAATAATTTTTTTAAAAACACAACATAAAAAAAGAAGAAAGCAGTACAAGTTGCAAAAAAAAAAAATCCACGGTCTCTTTTTACACTTTACTTTTTATTAAAAAAAACTCAAATCATTAAAAAAATATATTTATATTTTAGTTTATGATAAGCAGGTGCAAGACCCGATCCAGGAAAGGTCATGATCGACCTCCCAATATACATGTTCTTTTAAAAGTACCAAAACGACTCTTTTTGACCCAATTTTGTTTTTTTTAATGAATGAGTTGAGATCCGAGTTTTGATCATTCCAGGTCAAAAATCAATAAAATCAACGAGTCATCCTGAGTTACTCACCCAGTCAAACAATTTTTTTTTTTTTCAATCCAAACCAGTTTAAACTCAGCTCCGACGTCTTGAATTTTACAACCATGCCCTATAATAATAATAATAATAATAATAATAATTATCATCATAATAATCTATCTAGATAGTGGTCAAGTGGTAAAGACTTGAGATTAAGGGGTTTGTTCCCTCTGTGGTCTCAGGTTCGAGTTCTTGGTTGCTTATATGATGGTCACTGGAGGCTTACATGGTCGTTAACTTCAGGGCCCGTGGAATTAGTTGTGGTACGCGCAAGCTGCCCGGACATCCACATTAATCTATAATAATAATAATAATAATCATCATCATAATAATCCATCTGCATATGCTTTTTTCCTTGTTTTGTGCAGCACAGCAACAGCAGGGAAGCAACTCATAGGTTTTTTTTTTCCGACTGTGGTGTGCCCAACTCCAAATCATTACTTTCCCTTTTCCTTTTCTCTCAAAAAAAGCCACCTCTCTCTCTCTCCCTCTCTCCTCTCAAAAAAAGCCACCTCTCTCTCTCTCTTCCCCCCCTGTTCCTTTTTAGAAAAATAAATAAAAAATCGATTGCTAATAAGGGTTTTTGAGTGACACAGAGAGGAGGGATTGTGGACTGTAATGAGGAAGAAGAGTGACAGCAAATGGGGTGTGTGTTCGGGAAAGAGCTGAATGCGAAGAAATGTGCGGTGGAGAGAGAGGGTGGTGGTGGAGAGCGGAGGAGAGAGGTGGAAGTTAGGGTTGCGAAGGCGGAGGAGAATGAGGCTTGTAATGGAGAAAATGAGAAGGGAAATAATAATGACGTGTTGGAGGAAAGACGGAGAAGAGAAAAGAGGCATAGGTCTTCGAAACCTAATCCGAGATTAAGTAATGCTCCTAAGCATATACATGGTGAACAAGTTGCTGCTGGTTGGCCTTCCTGGCTCTCTGCTGTTGCTGGTGAAGCTATCAATGGTTGGACCCCTCGTCGCGCTGATACCTTTGAAAAACTTGATAAGGTACATATGATTTTGTTGTTGTTGTTGTTGTCGTCGTCAAGTTGGTTAATGTCAATGATCATGTGCTGTTTTTTTTACATATGATTTTGTTGTTGTTGTTGTTGTCGTCGTCAAGTTGGTTAATGTCAATGATCATGTGCTTTTTTGTTTTTTTGTTTTTTTTGTGTGTGTCAGTGTTCGATTTCGTGAGTGGTTGTTGTTTAATGTTGCTATGATTAGACAGCATGTGATTTTGTTCTTCGAAGTGTCGAGTTTATTTGATGAAATGGGTTTTTGTTTTATGGGATTCTGAGAATTTAAGAAAGAGAATAAATTGAGTTATTGATTTTTAAAGTTATTTGTTGTTGAGGGCGGGGTATGATTTTGTAATTAATCTGTTGTTGTTGTTGTTGTTGTTGTTTTCAGATTGGGCAAGGGACATATAGTAATGTGTACAAAGCCAGGGATACATTGACGGGGAAAATTGTTGCATTGAAGAAGGTTCGGTTTGACAATTTGGAGCCCGAGAGTGTCAAGTTCATGGCTAGGGAGATTTTGATTTTGCGTCGATTGGATCATCCCAATGTTGTGAAGCTAGAGGGTTTGGTGACATCAAGGATGTCTTGTAGTTTATATCTTGTGTTTGAGTACATGGAACATGATTTAGCTGGACTTGCAGCGAGTCCTAATATCAAGTTCACGGAGCCTCAGGTGGTTAATTTGTTATTATGCTAGTTGTTGTTTGTGTTATTTGATATGTGGCTTTCATCTTATATGTAAGAATTGGCAGGTGAAATGTTACATGCATCAATTGTTATCTGGCCTTGAACATTGTCACAATCGCTATGTGCTCCATCGCGATATTAAAGGCTCAAATCTTCTTATTGGCAATGATGGAGTGCTCAAAATTGCTGACTTTGGGCTGGCTTCCTTTTTTGATCCTAATCACAAGCAGCCTATGACTAGCAGGGTGGTTACCCTATGGTACCGACCCCCAGAGCTTCTTCTTGGGGCCACTGATTATGGCGTTGGTGTGGACCTCTGGAGTGCTGGTTGCATTCTCGCTGAGTTATTGGCTGGAAAGCCTATCATGCCTGGTCGTACTGAGGTAACATTATTGATTTATTCAGTTTCATCCACCACCACTTCTTACTTCATCCAGAGATGCTTCATTTAGACTGTTCAGTGTTGCAGGATGTCAATTATTTCTTTTGTCACATGTTTCTTGTTATATCATTAATTACGTGTTTTGTTTGTTTGCTTACGTTACTGCTTTGGCTGACCAAGAAAGTGAACACTTTAGTGGTTTATTGGAAAGATGATCTAATGATGTAGCAGAAGCACTTGTATTGTTATGCATGCAAAGGATTTCTCTTTGTATACTAATGTTAATTTTATAATTGAATACTAGTTTGGGATTAAGGCTTGGTTGTCATGGTTGTTGTATAGGTGGAGCAACTACACAAGATATTTAAACTATGTGGCTCCCCATCTGAAGAGTATTGGAAAAAGTCAAAGCTGCCACATGCAACCATATTTAAGCCCCAACAATCATACAAGCGATGTATAGCTGAGACTTTTAAAGACTTTCCACCTTCATCACTGCCTCTAATTGAGACTCTTCTTGCAATTGACCCAGCAGAACGTCGAACTGCTACAGCTGCATTGAGGAGTGAAGTGAGTCTTTGTTCTATAATACATTACTACATCTTCTCTTCAGCAGCATCTTCTTCCACTATATTCTACCGTGATGTGTATGAAGGACACTTGATTGAAAATGTGCTTCTTTGGTGACATTCAATCTGAGACACACTGCAGTACATAATCTACTTGCATTTTGCTATTTCTCAGGATTGTCTCTGGTATTATTATTTAAACTTTGCTATCTTGACATGATTTGATGCAATCAAGAAGAATGAGCAGAGGATTTTGGATGTTCAGTTTTAGCCTTTTCTTTATCTGATAGAATGTTTCTGCTTTGCACTGGTTGGACTTGGATAGAACTCAAACCAAGCTCCCATGTTCTCCTAGCTCAACCATCGACTTTTCAGCCCTGGTTGGATTTGAACATTTGTAGGCCTCCTCTGACCTAACCATATTTGCTTCCCTACAGGATTACTTCCGACCATTTCTAGTATTACTGCAGATTTGGATCACTTACTGATAATTAAACCCACTTGAAGCCATTATTGTTTGTCAAAACTCTAGTTTCACCTGTCTTTATCAACTTTTGTTGGAAATGTTTCTGTGTAATCTGTTAAAAGATGACATGCTTTCTTCAGCACAATATGTTTTTCCCTGAAATATATGGGAGATCAAAGGTTTTTTAGGATTGTTAGTTCAGCAGTGAAGTGAGAAACTTCTGTTCAAAGCAAAGGCCTTGTAAAGTAAAGAAGCACAGCTTGAATGAGCTTTTGGACTGGCCAACCCTGAGTTGATTCAGTTTGGTTTAATGAATTTTAGTTAGAATGGGTTGCATTCGTAGGCTAAGCACTGCTGTTTATAGAAATCACAGTTTTTATATCCAAAACTGAGCCAAGCAGCTTTCAGTTAGAATATATTCAAGCTTCTTTCTTTTCAACTTCTGTGGTTTTATGTCATTGTAATTGGTTGTTCTTGTCTTTCAGTTCTTCACTACCAAGCCTTATGCTTGTGATCCTTCTAGCCTTCCAAAATATCCTCCGAGCAAGGAAATGGATGCTAAATTACGTGATGAAGAAAGTAGAAGGTGGGGTGGCTTGAATATGCTCAATCTTAATATTTGGTTTGGTCACTTGCATGGTAGATTTTATCTCTAGAATGTGAAGAAAGTTAAACTCTGACTGGTATTTTATTACGCTGGAAAAAAAAAAAAGCGGAACAGAATTGCAGAAAACGTCATGTTAAAAAAACAGGACAATGTTTATCTTCCCTTTCATAAACTAAAGGTCACCTGTAAGGCATTTTCTCCTATAATACTCAAATTGCAGAAAACATCAAGTTAATAATTCTTTCTTCTTTCCTGTTATGCTCCTTTTATCCATTGATGCATGAAGCTATGCATGTGTAGTTTATCTATTCCTTTATTATTTCTGTGCCACCTTCTACATTTTCCTTTTTCCCTCTGCCTCATTATGTAATTTGTAGCAATCTTCATTGCTGTAGATCGAGAGCAGTTGGGAAGGCTAGTGCTGATGGTATGAAGAAGGCACGCTCACGTGACCGGGTTGCAAGGGCAATTCCTGCTCCAGAAGCTAATGCTGAACTCCAAGCTAATCTTGATGTAAGTCAGATAAACTGCATTCTCCATGAACAGTTCTACATTTCTTATGTTTATGTTGTTTTCACTGCATTATAAATTTGCTAGGCTCTATGCATTTGCTAGATAAGGAAATCAGTTATCTTTTACATTATAGGCAATTTCATTTGCTTTATGTAGACTTTTATTGGAAAAGGAATATGCAAAGTACTTCCCCTTGGTCAGACATGTTCTGCACTGTCTAGCATAAACAGTTACATTTCTTCTTCATGAGCAGAATCACATGGATCACTATATAGTTGCCTCAAGTTGTAAACCACTTCAGTTCTTGGCAAAACTAACCCCAGCAGAAGAATGGCACAAATACTGGAGTTGTTGGGTGAAGGTAAAATGGATGATTAAGGATGCAAAGTATTTGAAAGGGAAAATCAGAATATACCCTATGGATAATAGGCTGGGTAAATGTCCTTGCACCAGTTTTCTGGGCTGGTGGAGACCAATCAAGCACAGCTGGTCATATTCTCCAAATTTTTACTGTTTCAGAAAAAATCATTACACAGCATATATATATATATATATATATAGATCTCCTGGGGAGTGATAACACATGTATTCGCAAATTCTTGCCTTGCACATATAAAGATTACTATGTACTTGGGAGCCTATATATATATAGATCTCCTGAATTTGGGTCATAGTCTATAGATATGGATTTGGTTACAGCTTTCTGGGGAAAGTTTGGGGTGAGAAAATGGCATTTCACAACATTGCGGTCACTGGGTGATGCATGTATATGCTTGGTTTTAGAAAGTGTTTAAGCTAGTTTATAGAAAGAGTTTCCCTTATTACGTGTATTCTATGAATGTAGGGGTATGATGGACTATTGAAAGAACTAATAACCTTATTATGGTTCTGTATGGAAAAAAGTGCCTTTTCTTTTTATGTTTTCTTTCCATGTCAAAGGATATGCAATAGAAGAGTCTTACTGGTATTTGTCATGTGTCCCGGTCAACTAGCACCTAGCAGATCAATTTTTGGTAGCAGCGTGTCTTGCATGTCTCAGGTATTTACTGTCTAGATTGACTAGCCTCATTGTTTAACTATGTTAGGCAACAAACAGGAACCCTTTATCAGAACTTGGTAGCAGCGTGTCTTGCATGTCTCAGGCATTTACTGTCTAGATTGACTAGCCTAATTGTTTATCTCATAGTTAGGCAACAATCAGGAACCCTTTATCAGAATTGAACTTGGACTGGATTTTGTGGCAATGGGATGTGTGTAGGTTTGCATCACATTTGTGTCAGGACTTCTTTAGTGATTTAAACAATTCATGCATGGTGTTCCCTCCACATACATTGTGACTTCTCATTTAATGGCAGGG